ACTGCTTCCAAGCGATCCGAAAAGCTACATCCAGCAGCAGTGCAGTTGTTTGCTACTGCAAAAGCACCTGATAGAGTAAATGGTTTTGATATATGCATTGCACTGCTTCCAAGCGATCCAGGAGTGATCGTGCAGTCTGATTTGGAAAAAGAAAGGAGGTGATCTGATGCTGAGATAAGGCCAATTTGGATAACAACATTGTTTTAACTGAAGTCTGCTTTAAAATTAGGTGCCCACATTTTAGAGTGCTCTGCCTAAATTTTCGGTTTCTTGCTCCATTATAACTAGAGCAGACTTGCTCATCAACTTCTATGGTGTCACGATAGTGAGATTTCAAATATAAGAAGGAAGGCCGCAAGGATCGCCCAGGCAGCACTGCTTTCCCTGCAAGCCCAGCTAATCCTAGGTCTCAGTCCTCTCCAAGTTCTTCATTTACTCACAGGACACTACAGATGAAAACAATTCCTCCTCGACAAGACAGACTGCATTTCTCCAGTCTATAACTAGTCAATACAGATGATCAATTTATCACTATAGCTGCCATCAATAATTCTGTGTTTATGCTTTGGTTTCAAAAACAAATTTACAAAAGCTAAGTTTTCCAGCAATCCATCCAATTCAAACTGTCAGATTTCAACTAAGACGAACTATTCGAACTACATTCAGGAAAAAATATTCATCAAAAGTAGAAAATCAAAAAAGGATTACTTACCTAACATATTGTTGAAGGGGTGTTACCAATGTATGCATCATACCATGCATCTACTGCACAGGTCAGAATCAGAAAGCATCTGCTCTCAAAAGAGTATCTGTTAAACATCATCTTCAGTCTTCCACTCATACCTTGTATGGATGAAATTATTCTATTGCCAATACATCTAGGGATCTATTTCATTAACAGAAATACGTGTCTGGTGCATTACGTCCAAAGGAAAACACTTACCCCCAAAGCTGGTAGTGGATCACCATGAGGTGATGATGACCGGCTGTCGCAGCTGGGCTCCAGGGAATTTTGTCCTTGCATGAGCTGAACTTCTTGAACTAGAGCATAATCCTGTAGATGTCTTTATAGACATCTGTTTCCCAGTTTCAGAGAACGCAAATATTTATTTTATCAGATAATCATGAAGCTCATTAGGCATAACATTAAAAGTATAGAAAATATCACACTTTCCAGGAACACGACTTCCTTCAGACAAAGACACAACGAGAATGACTATCCAATGTGAGGGCCATGGAAAATGCATCTTTGAAATCCACAAAATACACTGAAATCACATATGGTGGACAGAAGGAAAAAGAGTTGGGAGCAGAGTCTTAGTAGTGACAGATAGTGGAAAATCAGCTCTGATGCAGCAAAACCCTCACAAGACCCACAAGACCCATAAGCACTGTCTCCTTGTTGCCACAGCTATCAAAAGTGGAAGGGAGTAAATAATTAATATAGACATACTGGTATAGATAACAGAAAATTACCTGATCAATAACGTGTGAAAGTACAATCGTCATATAAGTGCCTATATGAAAAAAGTATGAAGAAGAAAACCAGGATGAAGTGAGCAGTTAATGCAATTAGCTAGTATATCCAGAATTAGAAAATTAGCTTCTCATTTCCAAAGGCCTGTGCAGTATTTGGCTCAGCTGAACAACAATCTGTTCAAAGGAGCCCAAACTGGATTTCAAATAAGCAGCCCAAGAACTAAGTCACCATGACTCTTGGAACCGAGTGACTCGTGTTTAATACAGGCAGAGCAGCTACTTTTTACAGATTAAATGAGGACCATCAATAGTTGCTTGCTTGTGAAGGTGAAAAAAAAAATCACAGAAAAAAAGGACTTACTGTGCTGCTAATTTAAGGTACTTTGGAACAAAATCAGTCTATAGATTTATGGCCATTTATTGTTGTTGAAAATAAACAGTAGACCCCCAAGCAGTGGTTATCAATGCATTTTACTATAACAGACTTGTGTGTCACTGACTGGATTTCTTATCAAACTGAGATTCTTATTTGAGTTCAACATTTAACAGAATAATTTTCTGATAAGACAGTTGTAAATGGAATATACTCACTATATCTATAGGCTTTTTAATCAAGTTAATGGCTTTTCTTCAGCTGCTCAAATTATCCCCCTATGCCCTCAAAGCTTTCCAAGTAATTCTGACATGGATTATGACCACTCAAGCCAGTCGTCCCTCATTACTTTAGTAAACGGTTTTGATTTGGGGGCAGTAAACGTGGATGGCAGGGATCAGATTTTCTTGCTGTGGATGAAGCGATAACCTCATGAGCGGTGTCAGGACCGGGGATGCGGAGACTTCGCCAGCTGAAGCTCCCGTGCGCACAAGCAGCTGCTGAGCTCGCAGGCAGCATCCGAGCGACGGAGAAGGGAATTCTCCAGGGCCTGGCAATTTCCTATGTTCTAAAGCTCATGTTGATGTCTCTGTCTCGCTAAACACCCGGAATCAGGGATATTTCTGTGGGAGTGCTGAAAGGAAGGCTGATTAGTTATTCACAGTGCAATATGCGATTCCTTTCACAACCCAGGGACGCATTTGGAACCCGTGGAAATATTTGTATACGGCAAAGCCCTCATATTCGCTTGCCATAAATTTACTGTTTGGAAGAAGGCTTATTCATGGAAAAAGAAACAAATATGAAAGATTGATAAATGCTGATGAACTTTGACTTATGAACTGAGGCCTTCTTATCCAAACATGTTTATCTACAAAACAAACCAAGGAACCAACACTAAATAATTATTCTTCTCATCCATTAGCCAAATAGAAAGAAAACCAGGCCTTACAATGATTTTCCGCTTTTCATAATCAAAAAAATTGTAATCGATTTTTAACAATTTTAAAACTTTAAAAAAAAAATTTGAAATGAAACTAGCTGAGCCAAAAGAATTTTAAAGTTCGGAGGTTTTTTGTCCTTATCTCCTTTGCATAAAACTTGTCTTTAAAAATAAAAATAATTAGAAAATAAAACTAAATTAATTTGAAAGATACTACAAATGAAAAACTCCTCATAGAGATAGATATACTTACAACAGATATGATGAGAATATGGGCTGGGAGAAAGGAAAGTTCCAAATGCTCATAAATCAGACACAGAAATATCATCCCTTTGCCAGTGGAAGGGAACTTTGTTCACAGAAGCTCAGCTCAGCTCTCAGGGCAGCTAACGTAGGCTATCTTGTTCCTCAGTTTCCCAAAGTACATGATGAAAATAATATACCGCTTCTGAGAATCAAATTTTCATTAAAGATTTTCAGCCTGAGAAGTGGAATAATGGTCTTAAAGTCTAACAGAATATGGGGGAAAAAGAAGCCCTCATACCTCAGATATAGCTATAAGACTATCTCCAGATGAAATGACCTTCCCAATCCATTACAGTTTTGTAGACCAACATGTTTCATATCACCTTGTTTCAGAGCTGGAGTCACATCACTTGGCATAGATTATTTCTATTAGGAAAAAAAATATTTTAAACTATCACAGGGACCATATATTCAGTTATCAAGGACAGATGAAAATAATACCCTAGCCAGTCATGCATCCCCTAGAGAGAGTCCCTGAGCCAAACTTGCTTTTAATATTAGAGCAGGACCTTTTACATCAGTGGGGAGGTGGAGAGGAGAAAAAAAAAAAATGAAAGAGGAGGGATATTTAACGTTTTTCCTCCAGCGTTTTCATTCTACCAGAAAAGAATCTGAGCAGCATGTGTCCAAACAACAGACACAGGGCAATTCCACAGAAATCAGGTCTTCCTTTAGTAATGCCTCATTGCTGCATGCGGGACTATACCTGCACTTCCTCAGAAATGCCCAGCAAGCAGGTCACTCAAACGTGCTGTAAGATGCAGCGTGTGACTGGAAAATGGGGTTTGATTTGCTCTTTATCGTTTCTAAATATTCGGGGATTTGGAAGTTCAGCCTCAAGCACACATTCATCTGTGGCCGTTCAGTTGTCACTTGTAATGTAAATCAAAAGATGATGACAGAATCTGCCCAGAAGTTCAATTCCTTCCAGGGTCATCCTGTCCGTAGTGACCACTTTCCACAGTAACCGCATCACTTCCATCTGGCTTCCATCACCAGAAACATTTTCTGCCTATAAAAGCATATGTATAGATACATACAGAACAATCATCTACTAACTGTAACATTTCTCTGGTCTAGTGCTTTTAAGTTTTTCATTTGTTTGTTTTTGTTTTTTTTAAAATGAAAGATTTGTTCATACACTCTGGTTTCCAGCATTATCACATTTTCTACTGTTACCTGACAAAAGAACAAAATTCTAGCATCCTTACACTCATGGTGCATTCGGTGTGTTTCTGTAGGTTAAGGTACAAAGCCTATAGGTAGAAGAGCGGCTGGATGAAAATCTTAAACACATTCTTAATGTACTGATTCCTCACTAAATGGATTTCAGTTGCATTCATGCAATATGCTAGTAAAAAAAGTCTACTGTCAGGAATATCTGTAGAAATACTGTGTTTTACAAAAATATTTACAGAAAGTAAATTTTGAATATGTAAGTACAACTATTCTTAGAAATTTTAATCCTCCAACAGGAGAAACAGAATTTTAACTAATATCCAGTCAAAACAACTCATGTTTGACTTGCAGTAGTAACGACTAGCAATAATCTGCTCCCAAGCAATCACAGACAACTAATTATTATTAAAATACTCAAGGAAATAACTGCCAAGCTACTACAGCAGTCTACAGACATACCAGCTCACAGATGATTTTCAGACAGAAAGTTGTCAAATGAAGTGAGTCATTACATGAAATTAATCCAGTTCTGCCTTGTGTGTTACGTAGCACTAGAGTAGAGTCCAAAGTATAAAATCTGGAGGGGCTGATTTACTTCCAAAAATGGTACTCTTTCTTGCATAGTCCTAGGATAATTTTTGTTTTCCTTTCAGGGTACCTCAAGTGTGTTTCATTATTCTTTTAACATGAATTATATTGCAATTATTTCAATCCTTCTAGCTGACAACTGACTTGATCTCGAACATATTCACCTCCATTGGCTCAGTAACGCTGGCCTTGTTATTGATGCTCTTCTTGGCAGTGGTGGTTTCAGTCATCGCTGCCAATAAACGGGCAACTCAAGGCACCTACAGCCCCAGCCGGCAGGAGAAGGAGGGATCCCGCGTGGAGATGTGGAACATGGTGCAGCCTCCGCCCATGGAAAGACTCATTTAGGAGGCAGCATTCGCAGGACAGTGTACATATGTTAGATATGTTCATTTTGACTCAGATACCAGGAATACTCGTTTGAAGATGGTGACGACTTTGGACTTTCAATATTTTTTTCTTTTAAGTTGAATAACATTTGAATTATCTTAGTATTTAAGTGAACCGATGCCAATTATCGCTGTTTTGGACCAATGTGTCCATGGACAATTTTATTTGCACTGGAAATTTCCGCCTTGGTGACGAGCAGTAGGCATTACCATCTGTAATGGCTTTTGGGATACGTGTAAGTGCCTGTCTGTCAGATGCAACATGAATAACAGCTTCTCATTTGTGTTTTCCTTTGGCTGCATAGCAATCACTGCTGCAGACAATGCAGATAAATCAAATAAGCCTGTACAATAAAGACAATTTAATTCTGTTACAAAAGGGTTTAGCAATAGAGCTGCGTCTCAGCATATCTACTTTCGCTCTTTAATCAGGGATTAAAAGGAAGTTTTGAAAAAAAAATACAAAGAAAATAAATATTTCAAATTTAATGGGTTTTCTTTCCTCCAGTTCTCTCATTCTACCCACTGCTCCACCACTTTTTATTGAAAAGGTCTCCACCTCTGTCAGCAGAGGCACATTTCTCTGTGTATAAAAGACCAGGCTCTAAAATGCCCAGTGGACATAACCTGGGCCCCTTGGAAGGTCTGAAATCTAAACAGCCTAAACGGATCTCAAGCACTTCCTCTACGGCCGCTTCTTCATTACAGTACTACCTGATGGCCCATTTTTTACCACTACTGTGTCTTACGTTGTAAATATACATTGGCTGCAAAACCAGCAATCAAACTCATAAAGGTGCTTGCCAGAGTCATTGGAAAACACCAGGAAAAAGAAAGAATTGGCATTCAGGGAAATACTGAGTAAGTGTCAGTGCTGTCCCTGGAGTTCAGCCCTTGTGATCAAAGGCAAGTAATTTTTTGTGCCTCAATACTCCTCTTTTAAAAGAAAGATGATTCTGTTTAACTACCTCATAATCTTCATTATTTTCTAAAAATGTTGCAATTAGTTTTTCAAAAAGACACAATTGTATAAAAGAGAAGGGAATAGCAAGGAAAATGGAAGAAATCTTGTAATGAAGTAAACTTTGGAAAATCAGAATGACTTAAGAATTATAACAGAAAAGGATGTGCCAAAAATACACACAGTTCACGTTTCTTTTTCAATTTTAGAGACAAACCATAGGCAGAAACACCCCTAGTTTTCACATGCCATCAAGAAATTAAATTATGAGCATTGTTCCCGCACAACAGACACAACGCAGTAGAAAGCTGATGATACTCTGCTTTTCCTGCAGTTCAAACTATTTGCTCCTCCAGTTGTGTAACACCCCAGCTATACAGGCATCAAACCTCAAATGGTTATTCTGGGAGTAGCATAATAAAGTACACACTCCAAGGACCCAAAAATTGAATGGATCATTTTAATTAATGATCAATTCATAATTCACTGTGATAGAAGCCCTTAAGGGACTGCTGAAGATCAGTTTCACTCACATTTATTTCCTTGGTAGACGATTAGGCAGTAACTACGATAATAAGCACATTTTGTTTTCTTTACAGTCCTTACAGATATCTTTCGAAACAAGGCACTATAATAAATATGAATGGATGGTAGGATTCAAACTGAGTTAAAAGAGCAAAATGTTAAAAAGGCAGAATAAATGCACAACAGATTTTATTCCAGTCCAACTTACAGCTTTCTTCCTGAAGCTTATTATTTTGAATTCAATCGTTATTTTAGAGATGTTATTTAAATGCAGAGAGTTCAAACAGCAAGTAAGGAAAGAAAAAAGTTACCAAAACATGACAGTAAGATTCAGGGAAGATCTCTGTGAATTATGGCATCATGTAGTAACAGATTCAGTAACTTATAATTGAACTTTTACTTTAGTATAGCATTTATCTTACGACACAGTGCTCTAGGTATGTGTTAAGCATGATCATTTCTGGAAAGATACCTACATTTTTGAGAAAGAAAAATAGGATTCAAGGGGTGTAAAGTCCGAGTGAGATACTGCTAAGCAAAAGACAAGAATGGTGTGTGAGAATGAGAGACCCCAGAATGAGGCCACTTTCTGAGAAGAGATGGTAAAGTGAGCAAAGATGCACAGTCATTTGTGAGATTAAGAGGACGAGTAAGTAGACAAAAGAGCTAGAATGATGCAGGCTGCAATAACCTTGGGCAAGAGAACTCAGAAAATGAGGAGAAACTAGAAGCAGGAAGTAGGAGCAAGAAGTGCTAAAATAGTAAAGTAGAAACAGAGAAGATGCTCCTATATAGCTACTTTACATTCTTGGTTTTCAGGTCAATGATACAATAAACAATGCATGACCTAAAAAGAGAAATTAAATTGATAGAAATTTCAGGGAATAGCAGAGCTGGAGAAAGAAAATCTGAAATGAAGTCATTTCAGAAAAAGAAGCGGGAGGATATAATAAAGATCTAACTTTGAAGTTACCATGAGGCTGCACCAGATGACCTCAAGAGGTTCCTTCGACCCTAAATTATTTTATGATTCTAAGATAAAGATGCAAAGGACAGAAGAGAGAAAGGAGATGGAAGTCAGTTTGCGCAGACAACAAACCTGAAGGAAAGTTCACAGTGAAAGATAACGCAAGACTAAGGAAGTGCCTGAAAGGTCTCTTTGCTTCGTCCAGTGATTTGAATTTCTGGATTAAATTTTAGAGACAATGGAAGAAAACCTGGAAACAGGTAGGAAAATATTTGAGAAGGCGCTGTCATACATGGAAATCTATAGGGCTGCGCAAGACAGCCAGGATAGTGTATGGAGGCAGGAAGAAATGGAGAGGATGCAAACCTGAAGAGTGCTAATAGAGACCAGAGCGAGCTGTGAGGGAATATTGCTACTCACTGTACAACTGTCTCACTATTTGTCTCAAAAGCCAAAAGCAGATAATTTGCTAGTGACCACTTGCAGCAAATCAATTAAAAAAATAAAATAAAATAAAATAAAATAAAATAAAATAAAATAAAATAAAATAAAATAAAATAAAAATAAAAATAAAATGGGCACTGTATGCTCCCAGACTGTGAATATTTGATCTTTCTCTTCATCTCTTAACAGCCTTTTTCTTTTCCTACAAAGACAGGAAAGGTGTTCAGTCAGAGCACACTACCTGTTCTGCACCAGATCCCTCTAAAGATACTCTAGAGGGCAAGCACAAAACAACAACCTACTCTGCTTTCCATTCTTTACTTTCCCCCTGGAAAGAAGTGAAATCCAGCATCTGTTAAACAACAAGGACACAACTCCAGGAAGATTATTCCAGCTCAAAAGAATTACAATGTATCATTAAACTATGTGTCTTCTCCAACTTATATAAAATAATCTGTTCCCTATTGATACGTGCAGAGTATGTTAACAGATTAGATGGCATGATCATATTACTCTGTTGCTACGTGCAGCCTCAAAATGACCAAAAAATAAGAATTAGAGCAAGTCACAGGCAACCTATATTTTTTGCTTTATGGGATTATTTGATAAGGCATTTACAAAGAAAATTATCCTCAGGCCAGATCTAAATTTGCAGTTTAAAAAGTCAACAAATTCGATGTTTGTAATCAAGCGATCAAGAAGCATTTTCCTTACACAGCTATGAGATGCAAGTGCTTTCTGCTGCAGTCCAGGGCTGTCAGCTCCAGCATTATAATTTGCAGCATTCCCTGACTACGTCCACGCTGACTGGCTGTGCTGTGCTGATCAAAGGAAGATGTTGTGTCTCACGTCCTAAGGTGGCATGAATCAAAACAGCTTTGTTAGAGCTAATTTATACAAGCTGAGAATCTCATGCTCTATTCCTTACACTACCAGGGATTCCAGCACTATGGATAACCATTTTTTACTTGGATTTAGCTCTGAACTGGACAGGTTCACATGCTCTGTCCACAAAAATAATGGCAGAACACTAAAATTTTCTTCACTTCACACAAGTCCAGTTCTCTGTGTGCATGTTGCAAGGCAATCTATAGGACTCCACCACAGGTAGCCCATGATCCAGCTAGCAGGGCCATTCCTAACGTACGGCCTGGCATTTCCAACATCTGCCAAAAGCGGGAGGACACATTTCATCGAACCCAAACACACCGCATCTAGGAATGAGCTCTCTCTGCTTTTTCTAGGTATGTATCAGTCAAAATCACCCTATCGCCTATTCCCGGGGAGGAACGCCCACCGGCGATATCTGAGACCATTAGCTCTTTAAACATAACCATTTAATTTCCTGATCCCCAGAAGTTTAAATAAAAGCACATTTATTCTCCAAACACACAAGTTACTGCGGGGCAACCTAAGCTGCTCCAATGGCACTGTGGCTCCAGATCTCTAGGGCAGTTGATCTCTCTGCTTAAACCAGTGCTACTCCTTAAGCCCAAACGGAGAACATCTCAAAAACAGGCCCTTGCTTTGCTATGATTTTGCACCTGTACACTGTAGGACTTGGATCTCCCAAGAAATTCACATGGATAATCATGACCTAACCCTGCGAGTTTTAAACAGAAGTCCATCTTAGAAAGATTTGCCAAAAATTTCTGATCTGCGTTTTATTTAACTTAAACCCCAAGTCTCCTGTAACTCTTATTGCAGGGCAAACATTACATTTGTAATGTCACAGAAAGCCAGGGAATTCTGTCAAAGTTCCTTTTCCCGTTCTATTTTCCTGAGAATTAAATACAGCCGACACCTCCAAAAGCAATGCAGAGCATCAGGCTAGACATTGTAAGTCAATAAAGTTGAACAGCAAGTGGCTGACAACACTGAAATTTTGTGTATTGCAAAACGTCACAGTTGAGTGAATGGATGGGGCTTTCATGCCCCAATGAAGCACGCACAGGCTTCAAACTACTGGCATGTGTCAAGATGCTGCAAAATCTAATATTTATAAAAGATACATCTGGTGTGTATTTATTTGGAGCACAGTAAGGTGTTGTTTAAATTGAAT